AACTTGTCTACGTCGCTGTTCCGTAAGTTCTCTTTTCAGGATAAAAATCACGCCTTTTCTATAAAGGAGACATGTCACTGTGACAAATAGTCGGATTTTTGATAAAATTCAATTTGTAATTCGGGTCCAATTGTCATTTGTGTGGATTGTTGAAAACGGAATTCATGTAATATTGAAACTTAGGAATTTACTTTATCAGCTTTATAAGCTTGCCAATGTGAGCTTTGGTATGTGAGCTTTGGTCTGCATTGGTCCCTACCTAATTACGTCACTCTTTGATCTTAATATCTCTTCCAAAAGAAGATGACTTCAAAAATAGTCTCAAACGTCATGAACTACCATTATTACTGGTTCCGTCCGTCACCACCAGAGGGCACTGTCACACCTACCTTTCCTCATCCAGTTATCGAAAATTAAAGTATCTTAAACTTTCTAAAAGAATGCGAAGTAAAAGTGCCTTGAACGAACATTAATAAAATTAGAAGTATAGCGACTTTAAGTACAGTGAATTAAAGTGATCAATTTCTTATGATCTCGCAATCTAATAAACGATCAAGCGTCCACCATTTCGCTATCGAAAGAAGCCATTAGAAAATGAGGTCGGCCAATGATTCCTTTTAATTATCCATAACATAGAACGTCGTAGAAAGAGCGAGAGAGAGAGAGAGAGATGATTAGGTACATGCGCAATTAACCTAATCACGCCAGTGCGATTCCTGATCGAGGGAGATTTACAACCAGCAGTAGGACCGTTGGGTTTAACGACTGTGGAACCCCACACGATCTCGATTTGCTAATTTAACGATTCTTGGGAAAATTAGGCTACTCTGTTACGCTTGTAGAACCTTGAATTTATCGCGTCGGGATTGGTGAATAGGTTATTCAAGGGGAACAGCCTCTACGAGTTTGGTGGAAAGTTTGGAATGGCTTGTTTGGAGGGTCTCGTGAGATATCTGTCGCTATAAATGGGTATTGATGAATTATTGTTGGGGATATTTTCGATTGTATTGAATGGCGATCGGGCTATTTTAGTAATAATAGATATATTGGTAGCAATGTATTCTTATAACAATATGGCTCTTGTTAGTCATGGTGTCAAAATATAGAAATACAGGAGACACACCTTTGATATTTGGCAATGTTCCTTTAAATTGTACAATCGAGCTAAAAATCAAGCTCGAATTAATTAGAAATTTGTCGTAAATTTTCCCTGTAGCAATATTAGTTTTCGAAGTGTTCAATTTTACAAGATAGAAAAGTTGAGGAAAGACATAAAATTACTCTGCACAATATATTTTAAGCATACTGAAATGATTATTACAAATAACTTATAAAGAAATGAGAAACTATCAGAAGAAAATACAGATGTTACAGAGAAATGACAAAATATTTATTACAAATAAATTACTGGTGCAGGTTTGGACCGTTCTTCGCCGGCCGCCATACTTGCACACCGTGCGCATGCGCAGTTCGAAATACCGCGTCGAAATGGTACCCTCACGATTCTTTTAGCTTGGGCATTTAAATTGGTTGTATTCTGTCTCTCTCTAAAAACTAGTTTCCTTGTCGCCTCTTGTATATGTCCTTATCTTTACTTTAGTTAAAGTATAAATACAAATTTTGAAATTTGAAATTTCATATACACTAGTTTCCTCTAATTTAAAAGTCTGATATCTTCGAGTTTCAAAATTTTTCAGAACATTATTCTTCAATTTACCACCCTGTCAACTTATAAAGAAATGGCAAACTATCGGAAGAAAATACAGATGTTACGGAGAAATGAAAAAATATTTATTACAAATACTGGTGTAGGTTTAGACCGTTCTTTGCCGGCCATACTTGCACGCTGTGCGCATGCGCAGTTCGAACTAGCGCATCAAAATGGTACCCTCGTGATTCTTTTCGCTTAGGAATTTAAATTGGTTATGCACTCTCTGAAAAGTACTTTGTTAAGTGTTTTCTCTTGTATTTCTACTCTTCTTTCCCGAAGAATTAAGTTCCGAGGTGCGAATAGCTTTTTAACGTGATTCCAACCAATTATACGGCTAATAATCGTTGAGATCGGATCAACTCGCTCGTTAAACGTCTCTAATTACTCAAGCCTAATTAACATTCTTTCGTTTCGTAATCTTTGACCAGAAAACACGTTTCGTCTTCCTGCTTTCGATAACGATCACCATACGCGATTGCATAAGCCGCGACCTTGTTATTCAACGCATAAACTTTAATAAACAGTCATTGAAATTTTCAATTCTTCGTTATTTTCTTTTCTTCGTCCATGAAAAGATTAATAGTCGATATTAATAAAGACGGAATATTGCTAGCTGCAATACAACGATTATCAATGATAAAAGGCTTTCCAGAGATTTGCACGTGACCTAAAAACCTGTTGCAACGAGCTCTCTGTTGAGCAAACTTACAATCGAGACATCTAGACAATCTTTCCGTTTATCTATAGCCCCGGCCAAGCCTGAACAGCTAATATTGGTTTTCGAGCAGAGCTGCCAATAAAGTAGTGATTAAAAGCCACTTCCGGTCTGTGCTTGCCGCGCCCATAATGTGTTACGTAAAACGCATTGAGTAATGGTTAAATGTAACGGGCCCGGTAAATGAGGGTGTGCAGTTCGATACCAGACTACATTGATACTGTTGCAAATATTTACGCTATTCGTAACAATTTTATATATTATTTTTGTCAACTGTCATTATTATTTTTTTTATATTATTAGAAAGTGTGGAGATAGTTTCTTGAGAAATTAGGGATGTTAAATTTATTAAGCGAATACTGTTACAGTATACTATCGTCTATAAGTGCTGCTTGTAACACTAAATTATGCTAAATTAGTAGTTATAGCACCTGCTACCTGTAATATAAATTTAAGTGCTGTATTACTACACATTGTTAATTTATTAAGGTATTCTGTAGCATCGCAAGAGTCGATACTCGACAAGGAACGAATATTTTAAAGAAAGATAGAGTTCAAAACTAATTTAAATGCCCAAGTTAAAAGAATTAATTACCATTACTTTCCACTATGTTCATACATCGTACATCAAAAATTGTAGATTTAATTAAAAAATATTTTTTTATTTTTGTTAAATTTGACACGATATTCACTGAATGATAAATGCGTCGCCTTTCAGCTAGCCAGAGTTAAAAATTCAGCAGCCAGTTTGAGAATGCGTACACGTAAAAATTCAAATATTTAAAAATGTAGGTTTCCCAAATAAAAAAGAGCTAAACATGTAAATCCGTGAACTCTACATTTCTCGAAATTTGCAATGTAAAGAGAAATTTCGTTCGTAGAATAATATTTCTGAATGACAAAAGTTGGCGAAATTCGTGACCTCTGACCTGACAAATTTCCCCGACCCGTTTCTCACATTTCGCATTTAGGAAAATATCTCCGGGGCTGCAGCGAATTCAATTTTTCTTTGATCGCCGAGGCGAGAAGATTTCTTCTTCCATCCGTGTTATTTTGCGATGTTGCTTTGAACCGTATGTTTCTATTGTTTCCCGAATGATAATTCACCGTTTGATATATAGCTTAGCGCGGTCGAAGGTAGTATAACCGCGCTCCCTGGTGACGCGAAATAAATAAGTCTCCTGCACGACTTCATTAGACGTATTTATGAGACGCCATGGACCAGAAGAAACTGAATTCGACGCTCTTTGATGATGCAATGGTACACCGTTGTTAGCTTAACGAAGAAATTCGACCATTATTCGCTGGCTATTTATGATAATGTTCAACTTGGGAACTTCTCTTCTATAATGTTACTTTCAAAATTACTTTCGGACCATTTAATTCGTGGAAGTTTTGTATAATCTGCGATTTATAAACATACCAATTATTTAACTTTGATGCACAACATTGCTCCGAATTTTTGACCAGCTTGGAAGAAAAGATGAAGTAAAGATATAGGTGAAGATGTATACAAATGAAGATGTAGGTGAAGATGTATACAAATGAAGATCAAGTATAAAATGAAGATGAAGATGTACATCAAGAAAGTTAAAACACAATGCATGTAATCGTTTGTCTCGTTGCTTACTTTCAAATTTTATGGATGAAGTGAAAAGGTTGGGCCATGAACTCTGACCTGAAGAATATTATTAATCTGGTGGAGACATAACCTATCTTGTCGTTGCAGGATAATTTTTACATTTATTATCGAGTTCTAGTATTAACAATCTATATATAATAGTATATATAAGTATATTTATAATAGCAATATGTGTATCATAATATATATCATATGTGTCATATGTATATACATATGTGTACATATGTACATTTATATATATGTTTGTATACATGTGTATATCATTTCAGATATCAACCTCCATATGTATATTCATATGACACATGTATGGATATGTATATACATATATCTGAAATGATATACATATGTGTACACACATATACATACATGTACATATGTATCATATGTATACATATACATACACATACATATATCTAGTAATAATTGAGGTTGATATCTGAAATGATATACATATGTGTACACACATACATACATGTGCATATGTATCATATGTATACATATACATACACATACATATATCTAGTAATAATTGAGGTTGATATCTGTAATGATATACATATGTATACACACATATACGTACGTGTACTTATGAATATACATATATCTACATATGAACACGTATGCATATGAATGTGCACATATGTATATCATTACAGATATCAACCTCAATTATAACTAGTTAACCTTCAGATGCCACTTAACCTAACCTAAAATGTACATAATCTTCCTGTGATTAAATTTTCAACTTCACAAATAAATAATTTTAAAACTTTTGACTACCTTAAATTTGAATTTACCAAAATTGGCCCAAGTATAAATTTCAAAATACATTTTAGAGAACGAAGGAATGGAAAACACAGTGTTTCAAGAGTTATTGCTAATGTGTAAATGAAACAGTGGATAATGTAAATGTTTCTTTTTCCTGTTTACAGTTTCGACGTGGAAAATGGCGCCTCGACGCTGGACGGAGGCGCCGGCGGCGGAGGAGGCGCCTCCCCGAGTGCGGGCCTCGTTCTCCAGACTCTGCCGCAACGACGGGAGAGTTTCCTGTATCGCAGTGACAGCGATTTCGAGATGTCACCGAAATCGATGTCTCGAAACAGTTCGATCGCCAGCGAAAGGTAGGTCCTCAAGGAATCCTTCAGGTTTCGACTCTTCATTTCCGAAACTCTTTGTTTACTTTCTTCTTTCTGGAACAAAATTTTTCTGTGAAACCGGGAAAAAATTGATCCTGTGTATATTGACATAACGTTCAATATTTCTGTGTTAATTCATTCTTCGTTAAATCCTGAAATGTACATTTCAAATTTCAGTAGAATAGGTCAGCCATGTTTTAGATAACTTACACTTTCAAATTTGCGTTAAACTCATGTATTTTTCACTGAAGGTCTAACCTAACCTACACTCGAAATATTAGGCTAGGTATTCTTCACATACCACATTTATTGACAGACCGATGTCAACCCACAAGTTGGCGCGAAACTCAGGTCAAAACGGCTCCAATTGATCAAAATAAAAAAATGGCCGCCTCCCTCCAAAAACTTTCCACAGAAAAGTGATCGAATAAAAATATTCGTTCGATTGTCAATCAATCCATACAGGTGCAAAATTTATAATTGAGGGATATTCAGTAGGGTCTATAGCTCATGATTAAACGTGGCGTCAGTAATTAACGCCTACGTAAGTTACAGATCGCTGTTGATAGGGCGCCATTAATGAAGCCGCTTGTACCACGGTAATAATTAGCAAGTTGTAACTCAGTACGCACGTGTTCATGAATAATTAAAAGTGATTTAGGAAATAAACACACAACATCGATTTATCGACTGCGTATTAGTGCTGTCGACCGGTAGCTGCATATTAATTAACCGTGAAATTGGAATGCATCACTGTCTGCTGCAACTGCATTACCGACTGTCAAGGAAGAGTGATTGTTACATGAGAATTACCGTGGTGTATACGTGAATATCGATTTTGTTTAATATTTGCTTTTGGTCAGTTGCTGTTTAATTTATTTTTTTAGCACAAGAATAAAATTTAATTTATTGCAAGTTGAGTCACTGATTTAATTTATTTATTGCAAGTTGAGTATTGCAAGATGGGTTTAAGGGACAATGGGTTTAAGAACTGAAGAGATAGGGTCTTGTTTTTATTTAATGTTTAAGTTCGTATAAATGTTGTACCTCAGTTTGTATTTAGAGGTTATAATTTTGCGCCATCTAGTGACGGGTGAGGGAATCTAGTAGAACAGTAATCTGTTTTACCGACAGGGGGGCTGTGCCTTGTACTAGTGAGTGAAACTAGATGGCGCGTGGGGTCTTTTTAAGGAGATGAAGCTTGAGGTAACCAGACACGAATGGTCAAGCACTGAATTACCGAAGCACTAACTATTTTAACGTTTACCCAAAAGTGAAATATCCACATACTCCAATGGTCAACTATTTAAACAGTTAATACTTAAATATTTAAATAATACTCAGTAATAGACCTAACACTGCTCTACTCAGTACAGAAACACTCACTATAACAAATTTCGTCAGAAATAATTAAAACATCCCAAAAATCGAACCCCACAAACATAAATAAAAAATGAAAATAAATTAGCTACTTCTTTCTAATAAATACACAACATAATTTTTATTTTAATAAATGAAACAATACGTCCAATTTCCTCATAGTATTTCATGGCTGTACCCATTCTACTGCAAATTTCAAAAGGATTCATAACAATCAATATTTTCCATCACACGGCGCACAATGCACGGACATTCATCGAACTTTCAAATAACGTATCAATTCAAATCTTTCCGATACCGGAACGAAATTCTTTCCGCACGTGACCAGTTTTACCGGAGAATGTTTCAAATTGAAAATGTTAATCACGATCGATTCTTTCTTCCTTTACAGAGCACTATCGTAAAAGTTTTATCACGTTGTACAGCGTACGAATAAAATTTATGGTCTCTTTTCCCTTGTGTGTAGCTTTCTATGGTGGTGATGGTGGTGCTTTAAAACGTGTGTTACCGCGGTTTATTTCATTTGTACATAGTATATGTATATTTTATACAGCAAGAAACACTTTACGTGGGAAAATTTCTCATCTTAACCTCAATTTTTTATATGCGTCCTTTTCGTATTTTTATCTCGAATTAAAATTGACACGTTTTAAATTTATTTTAGAGCTCAAATATTACTTTTTATATCATTGAGTTCAAACGATTGTAGTGTTAATGCGGGCAATACCTTTAGAATCTTAAAAAATTCTTTTTTTCTATAAAATGTTAGTGTAATATCTTAAAAATATTGTCTCATAAAAATAATAAAAATTTATTTGTATGAACATGAAATTTTTTTTTGGTAAATAATTAAAAAGGAAGTCTAACGATTATAGTGTTAATAATAATATTTGAATGATATGTTAAGGATAAAAATTTAGAGAACCTTGCTGTATGAAAGATTATTTATTTAAAATACTTTTGTCACAAAGGGTGCGGGGTGTGACGATATGTATGACGTATGTGATCCTTGGGTTGCAGGTTCAAAGAGACAGAGCTTCCTGTCGAGAGAGCGTATGTACACGATCCTATTATTTATTATATCAGTCTCTCACGTCTCTATAAATTCACAAATAACACACTCACAAACTAATAAACACCCCTCGCCACGACAATAATTAATCGCTGTGAAATCGATTCGATTGGTTTACTTTGACCCCATCCTTCTGTCTGTCTCTCTGTGAATACACTCGAGAATGGGGTCTCAGATGCATGAATTTGTTGTGCGAGAAGTACCGGATTCTGCCATATAGCGAACGGTATTGCCTTGAGTTTATTGCGAACCACGCTTTAACGTTGCTTGTGATTGGCGGTTAGGAAAATGATTGCTTAATAAATTTTTAATGAATCATAGAATAATGTTAAATTTTTTTTACTTATATTTTATAGCAATTTTACAGTAAAATTTATAGCAACTTTGCAGTAAAATTTATAGTATAGTTAAAAATCATAGAGAGCTTAGTAGAAAAAAAGTTTGATCGCAATTTAAAAATTTTTTCGAAAAATTCGACGCATCGAGTAGAATTGTTCTTTCATTTGTTTTATAGACTGATGGAATGGATCGTTTGAAAAACTAAACAAACGGCTATGAGTCAACAGCGACTGTTGACGAATGCATCGAAGCAATTTTCAACAATGACACATGGCAGAATTGCTTTGATCAAATTAACGCTTGAACACACACACGCTCACACACGATCGCTGCGTTGTTTCTTCTCTTTTATTTGCAAACAATGGATATTGTACAGTTTCGACGCGTAACGATCAAAATTATAAAAAATAGTCTTGTGTAAAAATTGTACAGATTAAACGTTATTGCACTGATCGTTGAAGAATCGATCAGCTTCTGTAAGATATACTAACACCCTACATGGACACGATAGATAGGGACTTCTTTTCTTTTAGAGTGCGTTTAGGTACACGTTAAATAATTAACAGCATGTTGAACATAGTGGAACGTTTTCGAATAAATACGAATTGTTATTTTCAGGATATTTACCGATCAGTATAGGTAAGTCGCACTATTACGTAATTTTGTATATGCTGCAATTAGCGTCGTTGCAAACTGGACGCCTAAACGGTTCTTGTTACCTGCTTATTATCTTATCTGACAGATGGTTTGTACTTTCAATAGAAATTCATTACTGCGCGTGTGAACGGCGATTTTGAAAGGAGACTTTTCTTGGACGAAGGAGGGTCGAGAATTTTTAGGGTTGGGACTTTGGGGATTTTGGGATTTGATGAGTTGGGGATTTGGGGATTTGGGAATTGGGAGATTTGGGGATTTAGGAATTGAGAGATTTGGGGATTGGGAGATTTGAGAATTTGGGGATTTTAGGATTTTGGGACTTTGGGATTTTGAGATTTAGAGATTTGAGAATTTGGGGATTTTGGGGATCTTGGGATTTAAGAATTTGGAGATTTGGGGATTTGAGGATTTTGATATTTTGGGATTGGGAGATTTGAGAATTTGGGGATTTTAGGATTTTGGGACTTTGGGATTTTGAGACTTAGAGATTTGAGAATTTGGGGATTTTGGGGATCTTGGGATTTAAGAATTTGGAGATTTGGGGATTTGAGGATTTTGATATTTTGGGATTGGGAGATTTGAGAATTTGGGGATTTTAGGATTTTGGGACTTTGGGATTTTGAGATTTAGAGATTTGAGAATTTGAGAAGTTGGGGATTTGAGAATTTGACAAGTTGGAGATTTGAGAATTTGGGGATTTGAGGATTTGGGAGTTTTGGAAGTGGAAGATTTGGGAATTTAGGAATTTTGGAGTTTTTGAGATTTGGAGATTTGGAGATTTGGAGATTTAGAGATTTGAAAATTTGAGAATTGGGGGATTTTGGGATTTGAGAATTTGGGGATTTGGGGATTTGAGAATTTGGGGATTTGGGGATTTGGGAGTTTTCTAAGTGGAAGATTTGGGAATTTGGGGATGTTAGAGTTTTTAAGATTTGGAGATTTGGGGATGTAGAGATTTAGGGATTTAAATTTGAGAATTTGGGGATTTTGGGATTTGGAGATTTGGTGGTTTTAGAAGTGAGAGCACAAATAAAATCCGACCAGTCCCCAACCACCAACAATAAATATAAAATTGAAATAACAAAGTGTAACTATATTACAATAAAATTATTAAAGTTATATACATTTTATTCACTACTAAGAATATTCAACTTGACGATAGTATAAATTAAAGATTAGACTTAATTGATAGAAATTGATCAATATTTCTGAATACGAACTCGAAACTCCCATCAGACGTCATAATTTCATCTCATAAATATTTTCACAGCGGCGATGCAACGCGAGAGTAAGTGCATCGTTTGCAAATATTTTTATCTCTGAAAGAGCAAACATCATGGAGTATCCACATCGTTCCATCTGTCGCGCTGTGATTATCTTGCACTGCGTGCGAACTTGCACGTAGATACCTACTTTGTCGATTTCTAAAATTACTAGAGCACACAGGAGCTATGTTAGGTTAAGTTAAGTTTGCAGTCTGTTTATAAATTCTTTATTTAATTTTATATAATTTTAACTTCTACAAGATTAGGTCAAATTATGTTAAATTATTGTAAACTTTTCAAGTTAGGGTTAAGATTAATATGACACGAAGGTTAGGTTAGGTTCTTCAATATCGCACAAATAAAAATTTCAAACTCTTGAGATGCAACTCGAACATAGTAAAAATTAAATTAACTTAAGTTACTTCTTAGGGTTCTCAAATATTTCTAATGTTATAGCGCTTAGGTTAAAGTTTCAAACTCTTTGAATGCAACTCAAGAATAATAAAAATTAGGTTATGTTACTAATTTCTGAGACAGCCATCTTTAAAATCAAGCTTGAAACGTTCTGTCCTTTCGAACAGTTCTGACGTTACTATTCTTAGGTTAGGTTAGATTTTAGATTTTTTGAATGCAGTTCAAAAACATCAGAAATTAGGTTAGGTTAAATTAGGTTATTTTATTCATTCCTAAGTCAGCCATCTTTAAAATCAAGCTTAAAAAGTTCTGACCTTTCGAACAGTTCTGACGTTACTATTCTTAGGTTAGGTTAGTTTTTAGATTCTTTGAATGCAGTTCAAAAACATCAAAAATTAGGTTAGGTTAAATTAGGTTATATTATTCATTCCTAAGTCAGCCATCTTTAAAATCAAGCTTGAAAAGTTCTGTCCTTTCGAACAGTTCTGACGTTACTATTCTTAGGTTAGGTTAGTTGTTAGACTCTTTGAATGCAGTTCAAAGACATAAAAAATTAGGTTTGGTTAAATTAGATTATATTATTCATTCCTAAGTCATCTTTAAAATGAAGCTTGAAAAGTTCTGTCTTTTCGAACACTTCCGAAGTTACAACTTTTAAGCTAAGTTCTCAAAAACATCAGAAATCGGGTTAGATTAAGTGTAAGTCCTCAAAGATCCTCAAAATCAATCTTAAAGAATTTCCAAACACTTCTAAAGCAATACCTCTTAGGTTAGGTTTGAACGACTTTTATTCCTCACTGATCCTGAAACTTATTCAGGTTTTAAAGACCGCTGAAAAGTGGACGATCAGATTGGGTTAAGTTAATGTAGCAAGAAATTGCAATTGCAGCATGAGCTTGCGACGTGGCCGTCGCGTCGTTGAAAATCAATATTGACCCCTGCACGAGAGGAAAATAACGATTGGACACGTTTACGTGGTTACCGTGCAGACTGCTATTTATTTTCCCGCGCATTCGCATAATATCGACAGTCCGTCCGCATCTCTTATTTTGTTTCTTTTTCTAAAATTTTTCTCTATTTTCTTTGTTCACCTGTTTGTGCGCAAAAATAAGGGGCTTTTTACCTGCCTTTTATCGCAGGCATACTTAACAAGAAAAAAGCGTAACATCGACAGCCACTGGGCTGGTGTCGATTAATCAGGCACCATTGGTTCCTGGTAACTCGCTTTTATACTCGTCCCAAGCGTTCGCATATGCTACATGTGGATGTGTTCACGATTTAATTGGTTCTGGGTAATCAATTTTTGCAATGAAAAATCTTGCAATGTAAAAATTAAGGTTTCTTTTCTTTTATACTTGAAATTTCATTTTAAAAATCTAACCTTCGAGAGAAGTTCTTTTCACTTGTTCATTTTCCAATACAAGATTGTTCATAATAAAACTTGATGAAAGGTCATTTTTCTGTAATATTTCTGTTTTAAAACTTTCCTTATTTGTGAACATTTAAAAATTGTAACTGAGTGAGGTTATGTTAGATTGGGAGTCTCTTGGGGATACTTACATTGTAATGCTGCAAATCATAATATTTATTGGCACATGTGATATGGTTGATATCATATGAAAGAATGTCACATGTGACTTGGTTGAATTCATCTGAAAGAATGTTACATATGACATGAATCAATTCATCCGAAAGATTGTCACATGTGATATGACTGAATTCATGTGAAAGAATGCCACATGTGACTTAACTAAATTCATCTCAAAGAATGTCACATGTGACATAACTAAAATTGTCCAAAAAGAATATCACATATGACTTGGCTGAAATCATCTGAATGAATACACATGTGACACAACTGAATCATCTGAAAGAATGTCACATGTGATATGACTAAACTCATCTAAAAGAATCTCACATGTGATATGACTGAATTCATGTGAAAGAATGTCACATGTGACTTAACTAAATTCATCTGAAAGAATGTTACATATGACATGACTGAATTCACGTGAAAGAATGTCACATGTAACATGACTCAATTCATCTGAAAGAATGCCACATGTGACTTAACTAAATTCATCTCAAAGAATGTCACATGTGACATAACTAAAATTGTCCAAAAAAAATGTTACATATGACTTGGCTGAAATCATCTGAACGAATACACATGTGACACAACTGAATCATCTGAAAGAATGTCACAGTGACATAACATCCAAATATTGTGACTTGCTATGACATGTGAAATAACAGACAATACCTGAAAATGTCATAGTGTCACAACAGTAACAAATCTTAAATGTCAGGTGTTAAACTAACAATGATCTCAAATGTCATATAAGGTCATAGTTAATGTTTACAAAAATGTCAATGTCACAACAGAGATCATGACCTTCAGTGTCATACAACACAGCTGACAATATCTGAAAGTGTCATAGTGTCACAACGGTAAAAAGTCACGATCTTAAATATCAAACAAGGGCATAATTAACATAGTTAATATTTGAAAAATGTCACAATGACTTACTGTCACAAAAGAAATCACGATCTTAAGTGGCATACCAGAGCACAGTTAACAATATTTGAAAAATGTCACAGTGTCATAGTGTCACAACAATAAAAAATCACGATCTTAAGTGGCATACCACAGTTAACAATATTTGAAAAATGTCACAGTGTCATAGTGTCACAACGATAAAAAATCAGTACCAAAAATGCCACACCTACCATTTCCAAAAATATCACAGTATCATGTCAACACTAAAAAGTAAAAATCTCAAAAATCATATAAGATTACAATTAACAATATACAAAAAAGTGTCACAGTGACACCAAAAGTAGTGACCTAACCTAACCTCAGTAATGATGTGGTCCTGATCCTTAAGATCGTCTCAGCTCGTAATTCTATGCCGAGAGCATAGCCTAGGTAGAACAGAAGAATCCAGGGAATTAAGGCCGATTGAGGCGTTCATTAAAATAATGACCGCTAGTTTCTACGTCAGGACGAGTCATTTGCGAATAGAACCGCATCCAGTGTGTACCACATTGTGTGTACGTGGCAGTCGAGATCCAAGGAATGGTTGTGTTCAGTGTCTCTTCTCTAGAAGCGGATGGTTGATCATCTATTAACGTTGCGTGTTCCTCAAATGAGACTCTACGTCATTGGTAATTGATGCCTTGATGAAGCACTTTTTTCTTGCTTAAAAATAAGTGTTCAATGCTTGTGATTGTGTTTGAAGGTTAAGTGCGTTTTAAGATGGCGGATGAGTTATGGGACTTGTGGACGCATATGTGGACTTG